GGGGGGAGAGGCACCAGGCCCATTCTTTACAGCAGTGGTCTCCAACACACACTTACTGCAGTCCATAACCCCCCAGGGATTAAGGAGTGTAGCAGGTTCCCAACTGCCAGCCCCAGCCTATTTATCCCTGTCTGGTCTTCTCTCCCTCCTGCCCTTCCCAGAGATATGGCCTGGCTCCAGGTCTGGAGGGCTGGCAGACAGAAGTAAGGTGGCGGAGGCTGGCAGCAGGTCTGGAGCCAGGAAAGGAGCCACAGGCTGACAGACTGAGAGGGAGTGCTGCCCAGTCATCACGGGGCTGGCCTGGGCCCTGTCATGCCTCCCTGAATGTTTCTGTAGGGGTCATATTAAAACAATATATATATCTTTATTCTGTGCAATGACACTTTAAGCAAAGGCACAAATATGTCACTCTCTCTCCTAAGTCCTTTCTTCTTTAAAAGAGATGCACATTTTGTTTCATGGCAAGAAACCCTGCTCAATGCTTTAAGTTCCTGAAATATGCCAGGCAGTGCTACTCAGCACAGAATTCCCTCTTAATGATGAATTTCAATGGTACTCCTCCAGTATGAAGGCACCTAAAGCTCTCTAGCAGCACATTTCTCCTCTAAATATTTCTGTACTTTGATTTGGCATGTATGTGTTTCAGTATTTGCGTTTAAAAAGAATACTGAAAACTGCATTCAGTAAAGCTCTTACTACACTTCATTCTTAACTCAGAGGGTACAAAGCTCTGTGTACTGTCTTCCACAGGCCTTGTGGAAACAGAGTTTTACATTCTCACACAATTTCATTTTTCTGACCCAGCCTGCTTCATTTAACTCAAGCCACTAGAAAAAAAAAATCCACCTCCAGAGAAGGTTGGGGATTGATCTGGAAAAGAAAACTATCCCTTACCAGTATCCCATCTGCTATGTGGTCATATTAATTCCTGCTAAATGTAGTGCTGGGAACTATATTTAGCCCATCTGGAACTGAACTGAACAAACCTAAAGCTTGATATGTGGATACTAGTTGACTTTCGCCATTTGATGTAATCTGTTTGGAATGTGCACACTGCAGTTTCATGTGTCACAGAAAAAGGCAGGAGGGCAGAGAGATTGGATGTCAAAGCTGCAACCATGCAACCTCAAAAGACCTGTCGGGTAAATATTTAAAATGGCCAATCAGAGTAAGCAGTCAAGGGATACTTAACTAAACCACTTTGATCACCTTAAGAATTTCTTCTTTATGTTTTTAAACCAATCTATGCTGCCCATCACCACAAAAGCACAGCTACCACAGAAAGTGCTTTTAACGCCTGCACTGCATCTGTAGCAGCTACCACAATATTCCCACATGCAGTTTTGCTTACTTCACCAATGATGCCCGGACACCAAACAAGCTAATGTGACCTATTTGTTTTAAGCAAGTTCTGTCATTACTTCTACTCCTTTTAAAATAGTTTTGTTTCATAAATTCATTGTTTTAAAAAACACGCAGGAATGAACCCCAGAAAATAAACAGTTATACATTTTTATAAGGGTAAACCCTTACAAAACTACTACTCTGAAGGTAGGAGGAGCTCCTGTCCCTCAGAATACAAGTTTTAAGCGTATCATTTCCTTCTACTATTAAACTTCAGTTTTTGGATTTCATGCTTCTCTTTTTAAGGCTAGCGCTATTAGAGGTACAAAGACTGAAACTTGGACGTACTGTTCTAGTGTTACTGGGAAGTGGAAGCCAAAGCAGAGTAGTGTTAAGATTATGAAGGCTGGCAATACTGTAGCTGAGTGACATACTTCATAATCACGTTTTGTTGATCCCAGCTCAGTTTTGTGGAGATGTGCCAAAGAGAAAATACACTCACTACAAAAGAGCTCGAAGTAGTTGTAAGCCTCTCTCAAATGCCTTTCTCCCTCCAAATAGGCACCGTGCTGTGCGTTTGAGAAAAACTAGGGCAAAGTGGTAGCTTTCCCTGATGATCAGGACAAACATTAAGGACACCTTTTGTATTACAATAATGGTGAAAGCCCCAACCAAGATTACATAGTGCCAGGCACTGCAAATATGTATGATGCAAGATTGAGAGCTCTTCAGAGCAAGATCTATCTAAAAAGAGATGGAGAGGACGATGTTCTCTGTGTTCTTTACAAGTAGGGAACAGGCGCTCAGAGAAATTAAACCAATTGCCCAAAATCACAAGCAGAGCCAGAAATTTAACCCCAATTTAGTGCCTTAGCCATAAGACCATCCTTCCTTTCTGAACATCTCATGCAAGTCAAACTATACAGCAATAATGCATTCAAATGCAGCTATGAGTCCCTATATTTAGCAATGACTGCCATGGAATCTTTAATAAATAAGTGGTCAGGACACTGCGATTTTCCATCTCATTAAAAAGGATTTTATTTTTGGGGAAGGATTTAAAATAAAGCACGAGCCTTGTGGATAAGGGAGAAGCGGTGGATGTCATATACCTAGACTTTAGTAAGGCATTTGATACGGTCTCGCATGATATACTTATTGATAAACTAGGCAAATATAACTTAGATAGGGCCACGATAAGGTGGGTGCATAATTGGCTGGATAACCGTAGTCAGAGAGTTGTTGTTAACGGGGCTAAATCCTGCTGGAAAGGGATAACAAGTGGAGTTCCGCAAGGGTCTGTTTTGGGACCCGTACTGTTCAATTTCTTCATAAATGATGTAGATATTGGGATAGAGAGTACGCTTATTAAGTTTGCAGATGATACCAAACTGGGTGGGGTTGCAACTTCTTTGGAGGATAGGGACATAATTCAAAATGACCTTAGCAAGTTAGAGAAATGGTCAGAGGTAAACAGGATGAAGTTTAATAAAGAGAAATGCAAAGTGCTCCACTTAGGAAGGAACAATCAGTTCCATACATACAAGATGGGAAGAGACTGTCTAGGAAGGAGCATGGCGGAAAGGGATCTAGGGGTCATAGTGGACCACAAGTTGAATGAGAGTCAAAAGTGTGATGCTGTTGCAAAAAAAGCAAATGATTCTAGGTTGTATCAACAGGTGTGTTGTAAGCAAACCTCGTGAAGTCATTCTGCCGCTCTACTCTGCACTACTTAGGCCTCAGCTGGAGTACTGTGTCCAGTTCTGGGCGCCACAGTTCAAGAAAGATGTGGAGAAATTGGAAAGGGTACAGAGAAGAGCGACAAGAATGATTAAAGGTTTAGAGAACATGACCTATGAAGCCAGGCTTCATGAACTGGGCTTGTTTAGTTTGAAAAAAAGAAGATTAAGGGGGGGACATGATAGCGGTTTTCAAATATCTAAAAGGGTGTCACAAGGAGGAAGGAGAAAATTTGTTCCTCTTGGTTTCTGAGGACAGGACAAGGAGTAATGGGCTTAAAGTGCAGCAAGGGAGGGTTAGATTGGACATTAGGAAAAAATTCCTAACTGTCAGGGTGGTCAAATATTGGAATAAATTGCCAAGGGAGGTGGTGGAATCTCCCTCTCTGGAGATATTTAAGAACAGGATAGACAGACATCTGTCAGGGATGGTGTAGACGGAGCTTGGTCCTGCCTTGAGGGTGGGGGGCTGGACTCGATGACCTCTCGAGGTCCCTTCCAGTCCTATGATTCTATGATTGTAAAGTGTTCTTCTCTTAAAAACAAGCATACATACAAACAAACAAAAAACCACACCCAACCACCACCAAACAAAACAACCACCACCACCACCTTTTCCTTTATTCTCTGGCCTGGTTTATACTTACCTGGAAGGTCAAATTGAGATATGCAACTCCAGATACATTAATTGTGTAGTTGGAGTCAATATACCTTAATTCAACCTTCCACACCGTCTCCTCAGCAGGAGGTTGATAGGAGAAATGCTCCTGTTGACTTCTGTTAACTCCTCGTGAGGAGTTGGAGTGCTGGTGTTGACAGGGACACCCATGGCGTTCGATTTTGCAAGTCTCTACTAGACCCGCTAAATCAAATTCTGGAAGATCGACCACCACAGCATCAATTTTCCGGGAAGTGAAGACATAACCTCTGATCAATTCACCTGAAAGCCTCCCGACACACATGGCAATAGCCAGCAACAGAAGTCATGTTAAAACTCTACCTTGTGAAGTCTACTTCATCCTCAAGTGCTAGTTTTCTAGACCAATGGAAAGATGAAAACTTGAAAGTAGCATTCACTATATTTCCCACTCTTTTATACCAGCCTTGATTTGCGCAACAGCACTCCCTAAGAGAGTCATCATAGTGAATACTTATACACATCATAAACTCAGATATTTGGCCAATATTGGTATAAGTTTTAGTCTTTCAGTGTGACTAACAGGAAACCCGTAAGAGAATACACTAGCTAAGAAAATAAAAGAAAAACATAAAATCCCATGGAGTCTAGTACATGGCAGCAGTTAGTGAAAAGGAGCAATCTATTCCCTTCACCTGCAATGCAGCTCATCAGCACAAAACAAAAATAAAATAATCATTCTACACAGTCAAAACTGCCTCCCTTCTCCTCTTGCCTTAGCGTGCAATATTTCTAGCACCTCCTAAGCAGTAATAAGAAATGGGTGGATAGCAAAACTGAAGAGGAAGACCATCTCCTAACTATCCTCAACATTTGCTGCCTGCAACATTCATCCAGACCCTTCCTTCCCCTCTACCCTGACTCACCACTCAGAAACCAGTTTCTGAAATGATCCTTATCCCAAAATACTTCATAATCAGAAGCTTAATGGACTTGTTAGCCATGGAAAGAAGTCAGGAATGACTTACGCCCCAGGTGGAATAAGGATAAGAACTACTGCTGTAAGCAATACTGCCTCAGCCCCTTGCAGGCCCAAAAGCTACAACTGGTGAAATTCACACAGGTGTTTGTCTTCTCCACACCCATCTAGCCACCATTAGCAGCCCCACAGTTTTCATTCACTTGTTCTCACCTTTAAAAAACAAAACAAACAAACAAAAAAAACACGCAAGGAAAAACTAACAGAAGTAACAGAAGAACAAAACAAAGTGCATCGTTACCTGAGCACCCACTAGCTGCAACAAGGCGGAGTTCACAGGGAGGAGATCGATGTCTGTACTGATAGTGGTCTGGTCAAACGGGCATGCCTTTCGGTGGAGTTTGTTGAGGCACATCTTGCAGACGGTGTGGCCGCAGCCCAAGCTGATGGGCTTCCGGATCGTTTCGTCGAATGTCTGTGTGCAAATTGGGCAGGAGAGAAAATCCGTCCACTGTGGAGCTTGTACAGGCATTGCTTCAGAAGTTAATTCACAAGACAAAAATCTAAAGCACAGATTCCACTGGAATCAAAATCTTTGAAAAAAAAAGTTTGTTTTTAAATATCTTCTGTAAGTACAGACAGCCAGAACAGAGTATGAAACATAACCTGGAAGAAAAAAGAAGAAACATCAAGTTTGCTCTCTATCGCAACAAGTATTTTAAGCCCATGAGGTTATTAATCTAATTCTTGAAGAGGGACTGGCCCAGTTACTAAAGGCAGCGCAATCTAAAATTTAGAACAGTGGACTTTAGGTAAGGATCTCTGTTAAACTGACAGCTTTGTCTTGACCTTGGCCAAGTCACACAAATCTCTTTTTTTTACATAATTGAAAAAATGGGAATAATGATCTATTTTACAATGATGTTAACAAGCTGGATATTTGCAAAGAAACATAAGGTCACGAAAAACAAGCTGAGCAAATCAATATGAATCAGGTTAATCAAATAAACACCAACAAAGATTTCCACTGGTTTATGATTTTAAAACACACCTTTAGATAACTGACACAATGTTTTACACTGGGCTTGATCCCAATCCCTTTGAAGTCAGTGGAATGGCTCTTATGAAGTTCAACTGGCTTGGGATCATGCATAAAATGCAAGTGCAAAAAATAGCAGTGTTACATGTACATCTAGAAAATAGGACAAGGCACAAACTAATTCAACGACCTAAGAAATGAGAACACAGCTTACACTAATGATATGACCCAAATATCAGATGTGCATAGAATCTTGTTTTCAAAAATAATTTTCCTTTATAAGATGAGCTACAAGGCCAAAGCAGAAAATGTTAAATTACAGGTTTCCAAGCAGCATTCAGCCCAGAAATTAAAACACTAAAAGCAATAAATGTTCCCCCTTCCCACCATGAAGTTATCTTGATGCTTCCCAATCCACTGAACAGATCCTAGAATATATAGTTTAGTGATATTATAAATATACGGATTTATGTAATTCCAAGCTAGACTTCTGATATATGACCAAGGAAATCAAGAAGATTCTACAGAACAAGAAAAAAATTAAGAGCCAAGTCAAAATGCATGTCTATCTTGCATGCCCATCACTCCACTTGTCATCAGGAATACAACGTAGATTTCTGTCTGGGTATCTCATTTTTATTTTTGCTGCAAGATCAACCTTATACACTTTCTCCACGACAAAATTCATTTTTGGGAAGTGGAATAAGTACTGCAGACAAAAAAAGTGAGAACACTGCTGCCTAATTTGTTCATTGAATGCATACATGATACCTTACTGCATGGATTTGGAGAAAACCCCTTGGTCTTTAGAAGATACTGAAGCACCATCATTCTACAGATGAATGAAGGCACAATATGCTGCAAATAAGGGTATCCTCATTTTGGGTCCCTGATCTTGGGAACCAAATCAACTAAATCCCGAGAGGCAGTGAGAAGAGAATTCTTCAGGAAGCCAATTCCAGACCACAATGAGCGGCAGCAACTAGTTTCAAGAGAGGCGCATCCAAACCTTCTTGGTTGAAGAACCGTTGCCATAATATATGGCCTTTCTATATTTCAAAGAAACGCAGCAGAGATATTTTCTACTGTTCTGACCGATTCCATTGAAATATTTCAAGGGACTACAACCTGAAAGTCTTTATTACTAGGTTCTGTTACATCAGAGCATGAACTGAATGCCCAAAGAGGAAATGAATGTTAAGCGTAAGGAAGCACAAGATAAAACATCCGCTTGCTGCAAATAAATGAAAATAAACAAAACCACATCATGTATACCATGAGAAACAGGGTAACAGACTAAAGATGTGTAAGAATTAATTATACTTGACCCACCATACTTCAGGTGTCCCTAATCTGGGAACACCTGTGATACAGAGGAGGCAGCAGCTCTGTGTCCCACTGCTCTTCCTCCTCCCCTCTGCTGGGGGAATGACCATGCACTGACCCATAGCAGTGGGGGGAGGGGGAGACTGCCTGAGAGCAGTGGGGGGGAACAGAGCCACATGTGCCCTCGGGAGCAGGGTGCAAGGTAAGTGCCTCACCCTCATCACCCAGACCCCGCAGTGTCCTCTCTGGCCAGGAAAAAGTCTTTAATCCCTCATACCCTGTTTCTCAGGGTCCTGGATTAAAGAGGTCGAAGTGTATTAAAAGTAGAGTAAGATCTTTAAAACAGAAAGAGCACTGTAAATGAGATCGTACAAATGCCTTCTGTCTAAAAATGTACCTTCTATTAAAAGTTAGCAAAAGCCAGTGCGTCCACATGGATTTAGTTCTATTCTAAGAAGGATTTTAAGTAAGAACTTTGTGTGTCTGTTCTATACAACTAATATTTTTATAGACATATTTTTCCCTCTTGCTCTCCCACTTTATAATTGCTCATTGGAACTTTGAACATCATTTCCTAATGGAACTGGTTTTCCCTTTAATCAGGAAAGTGCGTATTTGTTTGCTATAATATATTCAAATAGAAAGTTTTATGCATGCAGAATAGCAGCCATTTGTCAAACATTAGTAGGTTGGGCATTTTAATTTAAAAACATAGTTTTAAATGTGAGACATATTCTCTGTTTTAATCAGAGGAACCCCTAATGCACCTATAAGTCACCAAAATATTTAGTCTGAAAAACCTGGTTAAGCTAGTGTGCTAGAGTTTAGGGCAATTATTGTTCACAATTATCCTATGTGATCAAAGAAAGTTACCAGTTAAACAATGGCCACCAAGACTTTACCAGCAACCCAGATGAAGACTCGATCAGCTATCACACCACTCCAAGCACTCTGACCGAAACAAAACAGAAGTTTAACAACTGTGTTCAGCCCACATTTTTTTCCACACGTGTGTGGCCATTATCTTACTAGCTAAGGAGGAAAGTGAATTGGAATCAACACTACGTCTGCTAAGGAAGCTGTTATGGACTACCACAAGGTACTAGTTGGAGACTTAACCCATGCCAAACTCCTAAACCTGGCCAGCCTATGGAGTGAGAAAATTTGAGTCAAGTGAAACATACAAACCAACCATAAACATCACAGGGGATTTGCTTCCTATCATTTGTTTCTACATCTGTCTCAGACATCAGAAGTAGCACTACTCTTAGGTAGCCAAACCAGCTTTTGAAGGACAATGGTTCCCAACTATTTTTATGCCGCAGACCGGCAAACCCAGTCACAAACTTTTGGTGGACCAGTAATGTTTTATTTGCCTATTCATTATGGCAATTAATTTTAAGAGGTCACGGGTTATTTTACATCGCATATGTACGCACACAATACATGTCGTTGCAACGGATCAGTTTGCGCAGATAACTAGCGGAGTACATGATGCCAGCTAGAAAAGGGAATTGAAGGACAGCTAACAATGCTTCTAATAATAATACCGTTAGTTTTCCCTGTGAAGCATGACTAGTCACTGTTGCCATGGGAATGTTACGTGATAATGAATGGGAAGGGCCAGGGAGGGACACTGTCCTCAAACCACAAGCTAGTCTGAATTACCCATCTCAGACGAGCAAGGGGCCTAGACGGCCCATGAAGGGAGCGTTCAGGTCTAAGCTATGGGACAAGGGTACAGCAGGACATTGCCCTCCCCTTACTCAAAAAGCTGTGACAACATCTGTGTCATTCAGGAGCATGGCTGTCACACACAGTGTAGCTTTGAGCCCTTCTGTGCTGGCAGGGGCAGAAGCACTGCCACAGCCAGGTCCGGGGGTGGGCAGGCTCTCACTACACTTCAGATCCTCCCCATGCCAGTTCAGCCACCCCCATGAGGGCCATTTCAGCTGCCCCCTCCTTATCCCCCCCCATCTACCCCTGCTCTGTCCTTCTCTGCATGTTGTCCTGGAACAGGTGGAGAGGTCTTCTGGGCGAAGTGCTTGATGATGAAGGAGGAGAGGGTGCCCTTGCCAGAGCCTGACGGGTCCTTAATCATGGTCCACAGCAGTGGCCACACCACCACGGTGCTGCGCTAAGAGCTGGGGGAAGGGAAACCCAAATGGGGAGCCTCAGAAGGGGCTACCGCCCTGACACATCCTGCACGGAACCCTGGGGGCACAGCACACCTTGACCAGGAAGTAGAAGTGCTTCTGAGAAAGCTCAGCCTCCTTCCCCGCCTCCCCTCCCGGCACAGGCAGCACCCACAGCCCTGTGGCCCACTCACACAGACCACGAGCTCAAGCCCTGGGCTCCCTTACAGCAGGCAGCCCTGACCCTTGGGACTGGGAGGTGGCTTGGCTGGAAACAGGGGCGGGAAGGACAAGCCGGCCCCTCACGCGTGCCATGGCCCGGCAGCCAGTGGTTCGCGGCCCACCACTGGGCCGCGGACCAGCGGTTGGGAACCATTGTTGTAGGGTATCACTATGTTTTAAGATTCTGAACGAAACAGGAAGCAAGACAAAAAGTATGTAAAATCTAATACCGTGTAGTAGATATTATATGGGACGTACCCGGAATGGGATTGTTTCTCTTTCCTGTATGGTTTTATCAGACAGAATCACCAGGCAGGTGAAGGGGGCTGGCTGGAGGCACACCCTCCTCCTTCTGGGACTGCCCCTACAGTTCCCCCAGGAAAACAGCTGAAGCACCAAGGCAAAATAAGATTTAAAGCACTGATTTTAATCAAGTATTTCTTCTTGCTGGCTTAAATCATTATTAAAATGGGCGATTGAAGTTGCTTTCATTTAAAATCAACCCACCCTGAAAAACTGGATCAACCGAAACTAAGGAGCCTTGCATCGCACTTACAACACAAAGCGCTCTCAATTCTAATGACACGGAACAACCTTTTTGGCCAATTGCAACATGTAGGAGACTTTTTGGGGGGAAGGAGCTACCCATCAGATGGTGTTAGGTTGGAAGCCTCACCCCAGCCATCTCTTGTCTTAGAGAGATTTCTTGGGCCCAACATCATCAATAGCAGCACCAAGACTGGGGCAACGGGGCATGTCTCAGGTCTCTTTGCAGAAGACCTCAGAACAGAGACTGGTCTTAAGCTCGAGAAGTAGGAATGAAAACAGCAGGTTGAAGGCTTAAGAAAGCCAAGTGCATGTTTATTCTTCTTTGTCAAGAAATAAAGGAACAGGCATCATGCACTGGGAGATGATACCGGTTTCTCTCAGATGCCCAAGACATT